GTTATCTCTGTTTAAAAAAAGCGCTTAACTGTACATCCTAAAATTGGTAAAACAATACTTGAGTGCTTTAAATGACGCAGATATCGATAATAAAAATAAAAATTACAATTACTGATAGTAGACGCAGTCTTTGAAAATGATACTACTAACAAACATAATAAACTTGAAGAAATACCATGTCAGCATGAGGTGAATAATGCTCAGAGCTTAAATAAATGAAAATTAGAGAAATAAATCTGTAGACCTAACTTCAATTCTTCCTACCCACTAAAACTTGGTATCTTTTGACTAAACATATCAGCACAAGTTGCCTTTATGACTAGAATGCAATTTTTAGTCAACAGTACTAAGTTAAGATGTAGATGCAGCAGGTCTTCCTTATCAGTCTTATCTCTAGAACAAAGTTCCTGCTATTTCGAGAGATCCCGAAATATCAAAAGTAATAATTCGCTGTGCTCGGTCTAAACTGTAATTAAGCTACTGGTGATAATCACTAAGTGTAATTCTGATAGTATAAAGAAAAAAAATTTTAAGTGTGAAATTTAAAAAAATGTGAAAGATTGCTTTGCCACCTTCCCACTACGTAATGTTCCTTACTGATAAACAAAATTTAATCCGGGCTCATTTTCCCTGCTCAAGAAGACGCTAATTGAGACCCCTCCATATGCTCTGATTCTTGCGCATATTTGTGGGGAAGGCCACCACACTATTATATTCAACCGCTGTGTTCTTTATCCAGAAGTCGTCTCGGTCTCAAGTTCCCTTTAGGTTCAGCATGCTTGCAAAGACCTGCTTGTTCTGCAATAATTAATTTAAAAGATCTGAAGTATGTTTGAAACAAATGATTAATATTAGTAAACTAGTAATAAGCAAGCTTCTAAAGTCGGAATGATAATAAAATATAAAAGCTAAATATTGGCCTGATTCTCATTCACCGCTAAAACACGATAGCGAGCTTCCGGAAATTCAAAATAAGTTTGAAATTCCTGGAATGACAAATAAAACAATTTATACTTAAAACAAAAAAAAAAATTTTTTTTTTTAAAAGCAAGCCAATTATTTTTCCCTCATAATAAAATGAATAAATACAGGAGGATACATGAGAACGTGTAATTATGCAGCGCCAGAAATGTATATATAAAAAAAAAAAGAAATTGGCATCAAAAACTTTTTTGTAAACGAGTTATAATTTTTGAAAAACCTGAAAAGTTTCCTCTCTATTCTGCCCACCAAACAAAATTCTTCCATTCTGATATGTAAAATTTCGATTTGCCAGATGAACTAAACAGTGGGTAGAAGAAGTTGGGTAGAGGACTGGTTGAATTGAAGCGGTATTTGGAACTGGTCCTCAACTAACTGAAGAACAAAAGAATCTGTAAATATGAAAAAATGGTACTAAAAAACTTACTAAGAGTAATTCATCTAAAAGTGAGTAACAGCAAATAATATCATTTAAGAAAAGCTTAACATTTCGAACTAATTCTATCCTTTCTTATCCTGTAATTACACCTTAAATTGGCGTTGACACCATGTTCCAACAGGTATTTTAAAACTCCTCTGCGGCTATTCTGGAATTTTAAAACACAGAATGAATGTGGTAAACAAAAATTTTAATTTTAGGTTCAGTAGCTCCAATTCCATTTCATCAGAAGTCGTCAAGGGTTACACTGGAGTAAACCATGGAAGACCTTATATATAGCTTGGAAGAGTCAAGCAACGCTACCAGCTGTATTGAAAATTTGGTACCAAAAGATCGAAAATGTCAGCGTACTCAAAAGTTTTAAGCTTAAAAAGAGGTTCTATCTGCTCGTGTACAACAACTGAAACAGCCTTTCGATAAGAGTATGAGACTTAGTCTTACAAAAATGTGTATTGTTATGAGACATAAACACGTTTTTAAATTGATACATTTTCACAGCCAACAGTTAGACTGTATCGCTGTCTTGGAAGCAAACTTCGAGATTATAAAAAATCATCGTTTTTTTGCCCTAAATTTTTCACGTTAATGCTTCAAATGCTACTCGTACCCTTGCTTTCTATGCTAATGCTGTTATAACATCCATTTCTTAAAAAAAAAACCTTTTTTGCTAAAAGTGATTAGCGATGATTTGGTACATCTTTCATGTGGCGCGAATCTCTATCGTTTTGTTCCTTAGCTTTGCTCAATTTTTGCTTTATGGTTAGTCTTCAGAAAAATAATTTTGTAAACTACCGCCTACTTGATACAAGCTTCTTTTGGCAATTATTTCTATTCGATTCTATTCTGAAGGGTAATAAAATGCCCAAAAAAAGGAAAATTTCTTATTTTTTACGATGACTTTGTGGAATATGTTCAGCGACGCTAATGCTGTTTTACTCTCCGGTGGAAAGTACCGATGAAAAAATTATGTTTTTACTTTTCATTACCTCTCATTAAGACTTTCCTGTTGCTGTCACCAAATACAAGTGTTTGAATTGCAGCAACAAAGAAGAGCATAAGACAGAATTTAAAAAAATAAGTAAACTGGTAAACTGCGTTTGTATTTTCCAAAAGCATACAGTAAAATTTGTAGCTCATCTTCTCGGTGCTCCTATGTACCATACCCCCACAGAATTATTGTCTTCAACTGTAATTCTTTTTTCTTCAGAAAACAATCATATATTTTTCATTTTATCCTTGGCCGCCACAGCAAACTGAACATCAGTGAGAACTTATCAAATGCATAAGACGAAATTAATGAAGTGGCGAACAATCTTCTCTAATATTTTCGTTTTTTGATGAAATGAAATTAGAGCTACTCAGCCTGACCTTTAAACTTTCCTTGCCACTTTCACTTCGCCTTTTAGAATTCCCGCAGTCAGTTATCCGTTCCAGTGAAAATGCGTCGTTTACTGGAATTTTATTGAAGGCACCAGTAAGATTGTTGTATTGCCATTCCATATAGTGTTTTATCGATATCTAGATATATAAATGTCCTGTCCATTTTACTCGCTTATTTAAAATAGCCAAAATTGCATGAGGAAATCGCATTCAAGAAACTGAAAAGTAAGAATGATTAAAAACCTAACGCTAAACATAATACTTCCCACCAATATTCGAGCTCGCTTACGAAGTTGTGTCATTCACTAAAGGTTCAAAAGATACACTGACCAAACATCATTGTTTACCAAAAAGTTTATTTCTAAAAATTCCTATTTATTTCTCTCGTTTAAAGGCTCATGTTGGTTCTACCAATTACTATCTGCATTCTTTCCGGAAGTCTTGAATATCTTAAACTAGGTTAAAAACATGTTTCCTTTCAAAATGAAATGACATGAGTTATTGCCTTTTAAGCATCGCCGTTCATCAAATCTTCCAGTAAACGCATAAGCGTTGAGTAGCAATGTACTACAAGAGAATCTTGATCGAAACCAAGAACTGATAACACATGAGTACTATGAGAGACATTAAAAAAGAACGATTAGTGGAGAATGCTTTATAAATGATACCGGTAAACCTTGTTTCACCTACACTCAGCAAAGTAAGGGGACAGTAATTCCAAACGCTCTTCAGAAAGCAATGAATCTTCCATAGCTCTCCTTCTGCTGTCGAGCCGTTTCAAACAACTTTATTAAATGTCTGCATGTTTAAACATCCTCCAAACCATATTACTGCACATTTCCTACTTATTTACAATTAATACTACCTTGAAGAACTCCATTCCCTCACTCCCTAATTCTGTTCCCAGATACAAGCTAAAGTCAACAAATTCCAGAAATTGGTAAAATAGTCCTTATTTCTTACTACTTCGCTCAAGACGCACTCAGGACAACTTAGTAAATAATCCAGCAACATCTTATCGAATCAAAAAGTGGGGCAACAACTGTCAAGATCGGGAAATAGCTCAGATCTGGCCGCAAACTGGCGCAATTCCAACTGTTTCCGTGCGAGTTGCTTACGAGTAAGACTAACAAAGTTTCTCAGAAGCATTTTAGCTTATCAATTCGTAAATGTTGTTTTTGAAGTGATTTTATGGTTGCTGTAGAAATTTATCGACCATCTTTCATATAGGGTTTGGTGGACATAGAGATTTTTTCCTGAAAGATGCGACGGAGCAACTGTGTGTGTTCAGCGGCTGGTGTCTAGGGGATACTTGAGACATTCTGTGAATTAGGGTTTGTGAAATCGAGAATGAAACCTGTGCGCCGATTGTAGTTCGCCGACATGTTGGTCTTTCGTTTGTATCAGTGTGTTTAAACTTAAAATGTCGTTTTCAATAATTTGCGGATTTTCTGTTCGTTTTCTTCTTCGGTTCCTAGTTGTGTTGGAGTTTTTTTGAGCGTCTGAAGGGAACGAGTGAAAGTTTAAGGATTGTTCGACATTTTTTTGATCTCTTTGTTTGCAACTTAAAGAAATGCAGCAAAGAATTTGTTTTTTACGACTTGACTGCTCGTTGGAGACTGCTGAAAAACATCTTTAAAGTTCCAAATTGACTTTTTAAAGTCTTTTTTTAGATTTCAAATGTATTGTGTTGCAGTGATTTACATGGAGTTAAGATTTATATTTGTTAAGATCATTTAGAACTTAAAATATTGTAATCGTTTTGTTTAATTTGGAAAAAATATCAGTTTATTCGCTCTTATTATTGTTTATTAAGCGTTTTCAAAAGTTTTAGAAGTCGGTGAGGTGGCTGCTGATATACATATGTGTATGAGTGGCGTTCCAGAAACGTGTGGGATTAATCTTTGTTATTCGTCAGCTTGGTCATGAATGCACCTTAAGTTCAAATGTAATCGTTTAAACGTGCAGTTAATTTGTGGAAAAGTTAGCTTAGTGTAGTGTTATATACTGAATTTGGTTTTTTTAATCTGGGGACGTAGTTACTCTACTTATGATTTGGGTCTTATTCCACTTCTTCTTAAAGTCGTATTATACGCAGTAAACGCTCAAATAAAATGCTCTGTTGTATCATTTGTAACGCCCTTGTGAGGATTGGGATGTATCATTCCACCAGAATATTTAATTTGGCATTTTTAGGAAAATGTCTCCTAGATCTCCTCACTTGTATTATGTTAGCACTAACTTAACGTGTTAACAAACAGTTCAGTTGGACTGCCTGACAGTTCGAAACTTATTTTTCCGGTAAGGTATTTTGAGGGGTTGACGCTTTAAAGAAAGGATTAGCATAAATTTTTTGTTAAAAGTTTTTTTACGATATCCAGTCTAACATTTTCAAAATGTTGAAATTAGCAGTTTGGAATAAGAAGGACGCTGTTTTGATAGTCTGTATTAGTATTTTAGATTTTACCCGGCTGTTGGGAATTGAAAATGAACAACAAGTACATGAGGTATTATAAAAACTTTAAACCTCCACCTTTTGCTCCCACGTACCGACCAACTGAGGAAGAATTTGACGACCCTATAGAATATGTGAAGAAAATCAAACCTGAAGCAGAAAAATATGGTGTCGTCAAAATTAAACCTCCAAAGGTCATCTAACATGATCTAGAGTAATTAATGGACAGTTTCAAGTCTTTAAAAAACACATTTTTTTTTTATTTTGGGTGCACTAAGACTTTCTGTCGAACAAATAGTGCAGTGCAAAGTGATTTGCTTTTTGTTTCCTGAGTAGAATCCGTAATTGTGAAATACTATTTTAGAGTTTTCAACCGCCGTTTGCAATCAGGAGTGAAAATTTTACTTTTACTCCACGAGTTCAAAGGTTAAACGAAATTGACGGGTTAATTCGACTGCGATTGCTTTTTGAGATGGAAATTACTGCCTTTTGGGAGCTCCAAGGTTTTGATTTAAAACCTCCAACAATAGATAATAAATATATAGACCTTTACAAACTAAGCAGGGTTAGTTGGCATTTATTTATTTTTATTTTTAAAAAAGCTTCAAAAAAGTTAATTTGATGATAATAAAATTTTTCTCTTCCAACAAGTAATGAACTGTTGTATTTTTCGCTCGAGGTTCTTTCTTTCGTTTGTTATTTGCTGCAGATTTATAGGTATTATATGACTTTTAATATAAAGATACAGCGTTTTTTTCCATTGATTTTTTTTTAGTCTGTTGTTGAAAAAGGCGGTGGTGAATACCTAACACAGCAGAAAAAATGGTACCAGGTTGGCAAGCAGCTCGGTCTAACTAGTCATCAGTGTCCACGACTGCACGACATATATTATAAATGGGTGGTTCCTTTTGAAAAATGTCTCAAGGTTTCTGTTACTTACGCAATTCATGTGCTGCCTCTGCAAACTTTATATTTCCTTCTTTTATTTTATATAATTATGTTTTTTTGAGCCATTTTTTTCTTATTTTTAAATGCTGCTTTTTTTTATATTAGACTTGCTTTGTAGAGAGTGACTTACTTTTTGATAAAAAACTCAAATTTTGTTTGGTATTATGGATGGGAGCACTGTTATGGTCTAATTTTTTTAGCATTTAAATTGCTCCTCTTATAATACAGGAAATAGAAGAAGAGAGAGAACTAAATGGAGGATCAGAGACAGAGTGCATTCAAAATGTAGACGGTCGTCGCCGGATTGTAGAACCGAAGAGTCGTATGATGGCTGGTTATCGTAATCCGCCTAGTAAATTATTTACTTTTTTTTACTACACTGCTGGTTTTTTGCGTGTTGACTTTTGTTCTATGAAAAAGTTATTGGTTCTTTATAGAGGGAAAAAAAACAAAGGACGACTCTGTGGATGATGTGGTTTGTAAACATTGCAAGAAAGGTGATGATGAGGATCGTCTCTTACTGTGTGAAGAGTGTAATGCTGCACAGCATACATATTGCTGTAATCCACCTTTAACTGATGTCCCTGAAAGTAAGTTATTTTTTTCCTTTTTTTCTGCTGATGGTGTCGTTATTTTGCTTCTAAGGGTTATGAATATTGGTTTCATACCATTCAAGTAAAAAAATTTCAAAATAGTCTAATTTTTTACTGTTTACGATTTTTTTGGAAGCTTATCTAACATTGTTTCATGGACTACGTCGGTGTTTTCATTGAGTTTAGATGCTGTTGTGGTTTACCCCTTTGACTCTTTGGAGTTTGGGGTTCTAAGCTTGTTTTTTTTTTAGCCGAGTGGCGTTGTTACCAGTGCATTAAAGCGCGAGTAAAGTCAATTGGAGAGAATTTTGGTTTTCATGACGCACAGCAGGAATATAATTTGGTTACATTTGCGGAGTTTGCTAATAGTTGGAAGCGAGATTACTTTCAGAAGAAGATCCTTGTTAGTTTTCTATCGTCTTTTCAAATTTAGTGTATGAATTTGGGTATTTCTGTATAATATAGGAAACGACTCCTGAAGAAGTTGAAAGGGAATTTTGGAGGAAAGTTGCTGATTTGAATTGCGACACTTCAGTCAAGTATGGCGCTGATTTATTGGCTAGTAAGGTAGCTATTGGTGTGTTCCTTATATCCTTCTAGTGAGAATCTTTTCATGTTGATAGCCGAATCTATAGTCAGTAGATGCATTGAGGTTTTCTCCTCTAATTTCTTTCTAGCAGAGAGACAATGAAGTTCTCGTAGTAATCTGAGTGTTTGAATTTTACCAAAGTAATTCAGGTTGGCAGCGGTTTTCCGATTCTTTCTGGAAGTCAAAAGGCAGGGCAGAAAAGAAGGAAAAGTGATGCAAATTGGAAGAAGTATGCAGAGCATCCATGGAACTTAAATAATATGCCGATACTTAAGGGTTCTGTTCTTAGTCATATCGATTCAGGAATATCGGGTAAATCCTTTTTGTAACTAATTTAAGAGGTACTCATCAGCTTTCTTTCTCTAAGTGATCAGAGTGGTTCATGTTCATCATAGTTTTGAAGAAAAAAAGTTGCTTAGTTTGGTTGTTTAGTGGTACTTTATTTATTTTTTAAAATATAATTTTCAACGCGAAATTCCTTATCAATATTTGCTGGACAGAACCTAATTAATTTAGGGATGATGGTGCCGTGGGTTTATATAGGTATGTGTTTTACAACATTTTGTTGGCACACAGAAGATCACTGGACCTACAGCATTAATTACATGCATTGGTACGCGATACTTAAATTTATGTAGGATTGACCAATTTCTTTGAAAAAACATAATTATGGTTATTGATTTCTTCAGTTCTGCAGTTCGGCTTGTATTCTAGGGGCGAACGGAAAATATGGTATGGAGTATCTGGTGCGGAGGGGGAAAAATTTGATGAGGTTGTAAATAATCTTGTGCCTGATTTGTTCCAGAAACATCCAGATTTGCTTCATCATTTGACCACCATGATAAATCCTATGATTTTAATAGAAAATGTGAGTTATATTCTTATCAGAATCTGAGGTACACGATTTGATGGCCCGCTTTTTAAGATGATGCGGAGTCTGTTTTTCTAGGGCATTCACGTTTATACTGTGCATCAGGAACCCGGAGAGTTCGTTATTACTTTTCCGCGTGCTTATCATGCCGGGTACAATGAAGGCCTTAATTGCGCTGAGGCTGTTAATTTTGCTCCTCCAGACTGGGTATGTTTTCTTCAAATTATTACATTTTCATACAGTAGCTGTCTTTCCTGCCTCTTCTAGTATTTTTCATAATAAGCTTAAGTTAATCAAATAGCAGTTTTCCGCATTATCCCAAATACTGGTGAGGATCAGAAGATTTTTAACTTTGAGACCTGTTTTTTTTCACTTTTTTCACAAAAATCTTGTGCCTTTAGCTTAGATTGGGACGTTTATGTATTGCTGACTACGCCAAGGTGCATCGTAAGTGCGTTTTTTCCCATGACGAACTCGTCGTTCGTATGGTCGAAAAAGTAGGGAACATGGATTTCTTCATGAAATGTGCTTTGTATGATGAGCTTGAAAAAATTGTATCTAAAGAAAGCAAATGGCTAGCTCGATTCCCAAAGTCCAAGCATAGGTATTATTTTTTCCTGGCAGTTTTTGGTATTTGATTTTTTTGGAAAAGGCTGAAACATCATTTTGTAGTAGCATTAACAGATTAACCGAAAGTATAAAAATTCTATTATTCAAGAAGTTTAGTCACAGAATAATGCCTAATTAACGCAGGTTTTATTCAGATACGAAAGAACGAAGTTTGAGCGGATTTATGACGATCAACGCGAGTGCATTTTTTGCAAAACTACGCTTTATCTTTCAGCTTTAGAGTGCAAGCACGCGAGACTATCGTGTTTGAGACATTCGGACCACTTATGTGAGAAATGCGTGGGCGAAGATTATTATGTCAAGTACGTCAGTAATGTGCAAATTGAGGGATGACATTGTTTAGCTACTTTCAGTATATTGTCTTAAGTTTTCTCGAAATAACTCTCCAGGTATCGTTATACAATCGATGAGTTAACAGATATGAGGAAGGACGTCGCTAGCACAGTCGAACATTATGTTAAATGGAAAGAGAAAGCTACAGCTTTTCTCCACTGTTCGGATACTCTGAAACCGAGTTAGCTTTTCTTAATGGTGTGAAGACAGTTAATAATTACAGAAGAATTCCAGCGTTTCTTTTCTGGTTATATAGGTTTGGAAGATATTTGCGAATTGGTGAATCTTTCGACTGTTCAGCGGTTGCCTTCCTGTGATTTAATGGAAAAGTTGAATTGTATAATTAAGGATTGCAAGTCTGTTTTTGATATGGTCGAAAATTTGCTCTCTCCTCTCAATCGTAACAAGTAATTAACACTTTTTATCGCTTGAAGTAGTTCTTATGGAAATAAATACTCTTTGTGAGCATAGTTATGCAATAACTATATTTAGAAATAGTTGCCATTTTTGATGTACAATTTGCAAATATTATAGAAATGTCTTGTTTAAAGTATAGGTTTTAACTTTTCTGCATATAGTTCTCGAAGTTCTTGAGGGAATTTAATACAGTCTTATCTATTTGATCTTCCCGTTTTATATATCAAAATCTATCAATTTCAGGACATATGATTTTGATTGTGTAATGAAACTGAAAGAAAAAATTGATAAGTTGCCCTGCCCGTTACCAAACAACTTATCTGGTTTTCACGTAAGTTTTGTTATTACTTTAAATTTTCAATTTTCAAAAAATTGCTTAACATTTTTGAATACTTAAAATCTTTCTGGATTCTTTTGCCCCGCTACTGTGTTCTGATTCCTCTTGTAGTTGATGCACTGAAACAAGTTTTTCAGCAATTTTTCGGTCGGTTAGTTGAATGGAAAAATAGAGCTAAGAACATGGATATTGTCAGTTGTGGTGAAGGCATTGACTATGAATCGATCATCAGTGAATTGAAAAGATTGATCGCCGAGGCCGATTTTTTCCACATAGTTCTTCCGGAAGTGGAAAGACTGAAACAAGTACTACCATTTAGAAAAATCATTTTCCACGTGAAATCTTCAATTTTTTAACTTTTAGAAGCTTGTTGTGCATTCGTGGCTTCGTGATGCTTACAAACTTCTCCGCTGGCGATACAGCTGCAACAGAAAAAAATTAGATGGTGGTTATTTTCCTAAAGCAGCCTTGGAGGAGCCACAGAAGTGGAGGCTAAAAGAAGTAGAAAAGCTTATTGATGATGGTACAAGACTTATGGAGACAAACGGAGAGATTCAAGATGTTGTTGACGAAGTCCACTCTTGTATGAAGCTTGGTTGGAACAAAGAGTTTTCAGTAAGTTCTTTTTTTTGACACTGATATTTTCTTATAGTTTCGTAGAATTTCCTAAACCTTCGAAATTTCTTCGGTTCTCCAGACTTGTTTCTCCTAGTTCAGGATTCTGTTTGGAATATTTTACTTTAAGGCAGAAAAAATTCTTTTGAATGAACGTAATGAAGGAGTCGGTGTGGAGCGAGCAAACGAAATTTGGGGTGATTTTGAAGTATGCGACTGGTTATCTATGGAAAAATTGGATGAACTGCGGAATGAAATTGTTAAAGCGAGAAATATACAGAAATTGTACATTGAAGGCAAAGGTTAGGAAGTAATTTTTTACTGTATATTTCAAACGCCTCTCTGCTTAATTATTTCTTTCGGAACAACTGTTTTTTTAGAGTTTATTATGAGATATAAATTTTTGGAGAATTTTTTAAAAGCATACCAAGTCTTTGATTTCTTAGGAGGAACAAAATAGCATTGAAATTATTTTAGATTGATCTTTTCTTCAGAAACTTCTCAGTACCTTTTTTTTTCAGGAAGGTCTGATATCACTTTTTCTGATCTGGAAACTTACGATGGTCTTTGTTCACAGTCATTTTTTATGAACCATTCACGAACTCATTTGGAGATTATTGAGGCCAGAAGCGCTTTGCAAGATTTCATGAAAGATATTGAATCGCTTTTTAGCGACACTTCAACAAATTATACTTTATACGAGGCATCTAGTTTTAATTCTTATTTTGAAATATAGTGAGTCCGTAACGACGGTTTTTTTTTTAAAAAAATCAATTTTTTGTTGGTGATCAATTCTAAATGTTCTTCTGTTTCAGACACTCTGTGGCCGTGAGGACTTAGAATTGCTTATTAAGGGCGGTTTCTCTTCATGTCGCATCAGTCTAAAAAAGTCATTTTTGGACCACTGGGGAAAAATAGAAGATTTTTCTTCTTCTGAAGAACTGGTGAGAATTGTCCTGGTTTATCCTGACGTTACTATTAAAGAAATCTGTTTGGCGGCTAAAACCTCGCATTTCATCTTATACTTTTTGGGTTTTATTCTGTTATATTCCTTATTGAACAAAAGATTTTTTTGAAACCGAGACTTTTAGAAGAATTATTTAAGCCACATAGATGGCTCACTTTGTCCTTCCATATTTGCTTTACGAGAACTGAATATGAAACGGAACACCCAAGAAACTTGCGGATGTGCTGAATCACATCCGAACGAAGAGGTTTCTCTAATATGTTGCTTGTGTCGTGGCAAGACTCATGGTTCGCCATAAATCTCTTTCATATTGATTTTCGTTGCTTTTTTTTTGTCTTTGGCACTATTTCAAACTCTTTATTTGAAGGAGCAGAAATACTTTTTTAATGACCACCAAAGTTTTTTGTAGCTTCGTGCGCCAGATGGCATGATTTCCTTTCAAATTTACCGTTTGGGTACTACATGTGCTCTTACTGCTTGAGGGGAA